AGGAAATATATGAGTTAAAGAAGACTATGTTTTATTTGAAAAAGTATTCTCCGGCTGTGACTCCCACAGCCGTTTGTTTCAAAGATAAATCTAGTTAATTTCCATAAAGAAATCCATCCAATATTAAAGCAGCGACACGCGTACGGCGCAGCGGCCGGTCGCCGGGGAAATGAGCCTGGCGCCGCGCCAGACCTCCAACTCCGGCAAACAAAGCGATATACAAATATACACTTTTGTATTTGTAGGGAACATTGTGAATGAGCTGACGATTCAACTTATGCTATCTAACCGAAGTGACAAAGCTGGTTCTGATAAAAGTCTAAGGGACCTAGTCGTGTGTGTTGCGGCCACGAGCTGTCACAACGTATAGACACCTCATGCGAGATGGAGCATATTAATATTCCGGCAATAGACATCATTGTAGAGTCTCGGGAACAATAATCATAATATTTTTATTACAACATATAACACGCATAATAATAAAAAAACCTTTGCCTCACAAAATCTGTACCTACTCGTAGTAGTAAACTCGATGGAGTAACAAGCTGCTGAATGTTCCCGCCGCCGCCGCCGCACCTCGTCTCTCTTGCTTCGCATCCTGTTGTCGTCGATATCTTAGCAATATGTCGAAGCTAATTCCTTCTTGTGTATCAAATATTAAGTATTTTCCTTATACTTATATGTTCTTCTAATAAGCTTATGATTGTTTCCTCAAGGGTAGGGAATAAAAAAGTTGTGTTTTTTGTATTATAGTAAAAATAAATGTATTGTTTCGACGCAATTCGTAATATTGCTTAGGATGATGTTGGTTAGATCGATGTGATGAGTACACCGAACAGGAACCTCTCAAGCAACTGCAACTGCTACCGTTACATACAAACATACAGAAGGTAGTAGCTACAGTTGCTCCAGCGCGACCCAGTCCTCTGCTCCAAGCTCTCAGCCAGACTTTGGCCGACTCTACATTTTGTGTCACGTAGCCGCGACGCCCTTATTCTTCTACACGAAATTGCCGAAATATATAAAACTTTTCTATTTTTTTTTAAATGAATACACAAACTCTTCACTAAGTATTAAGAGTAACAAAGTTGTTTAGCAAAATTTTACAAAGATAATGGAGGCGGTAAATTGTGATCATGTAACTAGAAAAAAAGGCTAAGCACTAAACACAACATAACGTACACTTTAAAGTAATATGATACTTCGCGCGCCGCCATGTTGTTATTGCATTTCCAGCTCGAGTGAATATCAATAATGGTAACATTTCATTCCTACTTTATTATATTGTGTATTGAGAAGTAATCGGGGAGCTTTTGTATTTTTTCAACGGGAGTTTGTATCGAACTTCTGCTTTAAGGGTCTAACTCAATACAGTAAGCGACGGCAACAAAGAACTTCCGCACAATAGTGACTGAAGCAATCGGCTGAGTGCGCACCATTTTGTTTTGCCCGCCGTCAAAGCATTGCCTCTTATTACAAATTTCTTTTATATTAATAATTATAGCTATTTGAGAAGATTCTTCGTACTTATTACCAGTGGAACTTTTAGACATCGCAATTCCATTGGAAGGCGTTCAATATGCGAGAGTTTACAATACATTTATCAACTCAAAACGGTTTCCAACTGACCTGACTCTAACTCGCTGTCGTTATGCGTAACGATTTCCTGTCTGCTGATCGCTTCGGGCTCGCCTCGCTCGATTTCATTTTTTCCGTTTCGGTTTGAAAGCTTCTATTTGAAGGCGCGTGAGTTCATCAGCCGCCTAGCACCCGACAAGATACGTACAATTTACATTTAATTACACATTATTAAGTTCTCACATTATTTAAAGATTGTGCAACATATTGTTCCGCGTCATTTAATACGCCTCTGAGTGATTTTATTATAGAAGCAATTCATCATTATATTACATTCCTCGCGATAACTCGGATATGTATCATTGATTAAACATCAAAGGAACCGTGGATGATTTATATTAATTAAAAATATATATATATGTATACTTCATGAACGATGACTAGTTATATGTTTAATGAGAAATAAAAGGAGTTGCGTCAAGATTATTGTCAACAAACAGCAACTTTAAAATATCTAACTGATGTTAGTGGACGCAATGATAACATGTTATAAGTCGTGGTACCGCCTCGTTATTGTTTCATGTATTAAAGTTTCTGATTGTTTATTTTATACATAAATTAAATGTAATTTAGTAGGATTTTAAACATCACATACGCATAGTGTTGGAGCAAAATTCCATATTGTTCTTGTCAAATATTAACTCCAGCATTTCGGCCGGAAGCAACTCCACTCAAGGGAGGCGCGGCGCCCTCAAGCCTTGTAATCACTGAGCAATTCATGTCAAACAATGGAAATTGTCACCTTTCCCTGACAAAGAGCGAGTCGCGTCACCAGCGCGCTTCTTGTCGTATTCACTCGAGCGACGGCTGCTTTGATTTGTATTCATTCGAAGCGAAAACTCGCCGAGTCCTTGTGAAACTTCTCTATTTAATTTGTAAACTTTACACAGTAAAATTCAATAGTTCTTCATTTGTTTTAGCAAGTTTTAATCCAATCCATTTAACAAGTTACATATTGGCTAAGGTGTAATTGCCACCATCACTTGTCTTGTTCTTCGAATAGATAAATGGATTATCTAGTGATGTAGTGTCGCGGTGTGGTCGCAGGAGCTGATGCCCCGCGTGCTGATGGACCTTACATTTACATGACATTGCAGTCAAGTGCGCGACTTGCTCAACATCCGACATAAAACATTTCGGTCACGTGTCACACCACGCTCCGCATAAAACATTTTTTTCCAGCCCTTAGCACTCTACTTATTTACTGGTATGTAGCTTAGTCTCAAATACCACTACCACGCCACGACGAAAAAAGTTGATTATTTTCAGTCTTTTTTTGACATTCTAGAAAGATCTTGTGTCGACTTAGTCCCAGAAAATTCCTTGTACCGACTATTCTCAAATTTTCGAATCTCATACATTTTTATCAAGTTCATATCTCGAAAAAGAGAAAACATAAGCCGTTGTCACTCCAGTATTTGACAGAAGACATAAATTGCAAATTAATTGCTTGAAATTTCGGTACAAGTTAGGAAATTTTTCATTAAAACTTGCAGCCGCCCTGTTATTTCTACAAACCGCCAAAAGATCCTTGTAGGAGTATATTATGTAATGCAAACTGTCGAGCGAAGCACGCGGCGATGTTATGTCCTACAACGAAACGCCTCTATTATTTCATTATTGGATGGAAGTTCAATAATAGTGGAACAAATTCCTTTCCCTTGTGCCTCGTTCCTTATAATATAAACAAAAGACAGAGTTGTTGGCCGATGAAGCGCGATTGCGGTGCGAGTGTTTGGCTTTAAATAGCACAATATAATCATAATATCATTAAACTTTGAAATTCTGAAAGTAATACAGCATTTCCATGAAAGTTTCACGTCCCGGCGTGGGATCGTTCAAAAAATATTGGAGCACCCGAGAAAAGCTCTTCGTAATCTGTTGCGACCTAAATCTCTTCGGCGTGTGTAAGCCCTTTATTAGATTACTTACATTACAGGAGGAGCGTCGCCCACTTACATGAGAGCTATTTGTGCGTAACGACGAGTGTCACTCTATTATATATATTTAATTATACTGAAGAAAATTTTAAACTATTTTAAAAAGATGAGGTTCTTAATTCATCTGCATGTTTTTTTTAGTTTTTCCCCTGAACTTTGGATGGGCGAACTGATGCTAATGATTGTTTATTTACTAACGGAAGATCGCGTCTATCCAGTTGTCACATTTAATTAATGAGTTCTTCGTATTTGTGTTAATGTTTGTGCGCAATTAATTTAAACGTTAGATACTTAGGTAAGTAAGTGCTTAATATTTTGTGAGGCGTTTCCTCGTCCTCAAACACCTTCACAGATCTTAGTTAAACTTAAATCTGTGAGATGAAATGTATACCGAGTCCCGATCACAAACAACACCGTTAATCACCACGATATTGACTCTGTGCCCGCTCTCTCCTTCTAATATTTGTCTTTACCGATGTTTCATTAGCTACGTGTTTGCTAAACTGTCTAAAGCTTAGTTATGTATCTATTCATACGACACGCATTTCTTGTCGTATGCTTATATACCATTTTCTTATTTATGTTGTTTTTGCTTTAGTACAAAGCTAGAGAAATAATAATTTGGTCGATCGATTGCGGGTGAGTTGCACGCGCATTGCCTCTGTTGGCGCTTCAATGGAAAACAGTAAAAACACGTAATGACTGCCATGCCACTGCAATGGCAGCCACTTTGTACGTAATTCAGTAAGAAGAAAGACGCTTCAGTTCACTCATACAAATAACTTTTACAAAGAGGCCTTTGATTTTTACGTAGAAAGTTTTCTACGGAAAAAGCTTTGAGCGAACTGTTAACTGCGACAACTTTGTTACTGTGAATTTTTTCTATATTTTCTGAGTCTCAATCCCTTATTTACTTATTCTTACGTAATAAACGAAGTCTGAACAAAATGAACGATTTATTACATGAAAACTCTGCGCATGTCGCATATCGCCAATTGACTTATGGTTAACAGAGAACAGGAATCACGCAATTCAACTATTGTCGTGATCCATATATTAGCACAAATAAATATTAAAAACGTAACAAAGTAATCTGCAAATTATAAAAAAATAACTAAAGAACGTGTTCAATGATCACATGCACATTGAAAAGTCATATAATATAATAGTTCTCTGGAACTTAGACCCTATTCTCAATGAGTTGGTAGCCGCAAGCTACCACTCTTGTACATATATCGCATACAATTTTGGGTAATATCGTACCAAAAGCTAACAACACGATTCTGAAGTCGCTCTGCGCGGTGTATGTATACTGTTTAGTGTTATCCAGTACCGGCCGGCGGCAGCGGGGCCAGCGGGGAGGAGGGGCGTGCGGCTGACGCAGCGGCAGCCGGCAGTCGTCAGTATCGGCCGCGCGCGGCCTATGGCGGTACGTCCTTTGTGGGGAGCCATGACGCGCCACAACAGATAAACTTATTTCGTCTTAGCGACATAAATACAATAATTCAATTCCTTTAAAAAAAAAAACTTTTACGATGGCTTATATCGAACGATTAAAAAAAAACTCAACTAAATAATTGAACGTAACACATAAATAACAAAATCATCGAAGTTTAGCGAGAAGTAGTATCTGACGGCAAACAGTTTTATGTAGCTGTAGACCATGTCCCGAACCGGCTCGATGTCCGGACTGCTGGTCGTAATCGCGTTGTCTTTTTGCTCTCTTACGACCGACGGCGACACGGAGCCGCTGAACACAACGGTCGGCGAGTACTCGTTTGGCTACCACGCGAGGACGATTAGGGAGAGCAGGCCACTCATTGGACCCTTTGACTTGTCAAAGAAGCTGAAAAAGGCAAAACAACCTGTCGGTCAACAACCAAGCGCAGCACTGCAAGCTGCCAGAATTTTGGGGCAGAACATAAAAAACATTCAAAATATTTCTAGTTCATCACCTATTCTTTCCGACTCCGTAGTTCTTGATACGTCTCCCGCACCTGACGCTATGAAATCAGCCAAAAAAACGAAATCACCACGCGAAAATGATTTTAAAATGGAATCTTTTACTGTTGCACCTAACACAAAAATCAAATCTAGAAAAACACCAAAGAAGAGGAAAACAAAAATTGGTGTGGGTGCGAGAACGGAGCAGGCGACGGCGCTGGCGGGACAGCGCGCCGCACTACTGCCCGGCGACCTCTTGCTAGGTGGCCTCGTCACGGTGAGCCGTAAATCTTCTATGACATGGTTCAGGTATCATGGCCTCAATCAAAACGTCTCGTGTTGTTGCGGTAACAAAATCTCATTTGACGTCTGAGCCTCTCTCTTAGAGATATCTAAGTAGGTACAAAGCTATTATAAATGAGGTGGCGATGTAATCATCTGCGTTTTAAGCGAAAAAGAATAGCTGTATTTTCTGCGATAGAATAGGAAATAACACATTAAGGCATCCCTAACGCTGTCAGCGCACTCACAAAAAGAGCAAACGTTTTATTGATAGCCTAAAAATAAAAGCCTCTTTAGCCCTTTATCGTCATCGTCCATGAAACCGTTGCCGCCTAGATTGAAAGCGACAGCATTGTTATGAGTCGTGGACACAGTAGCAATGAGTGACGGGATCGGCAGGTGCATGGGCGCGGCGCGGGAGCCACAGCGTGCGGGGCTTTGCGGTTGCGCGGCGTGCAGGCGTTGGAAGCCATGATGTTCGCGCTGGCGGCGGCCGGCCCGCCGGCGCCCGGCGTGCGCCTTGGCGCGCTCGTACTCGACGACTGCGACACCGACACGCGCGGCCTGGAGATGGCGCTGGACTTCATCAAAGGTTAACGGCAATTCTTGTGCACGTGATGTCCTCGAATATTATATTTACGAAAGCATGAAATTAATTCTAAAAAAAATGTATATTACAATAGTGAATGTTTTGGCAGATTGGGAGGCTGCCTTCCTTGTGCCACTTTCATGTGCATGCACATGTTTGTCGTGATGGAAAAAAGATTCTTTTTCATAATTTTTTTATCATATGGAGTGTGACTTTCGTCAAACAGCGCTCAAAAGCTCTCAATATGAATCTACAAAAAATAGCTTTAAGAAATGCCGGCGCAGGTTCTATCAGCAACATCAACGCCGAGCAACGCGCCTGCAATGCGTCGAGCGTGGCTGGCGCGGCGAGAGCGACGGGCGACACGGGTCCGGGCGGGCGCCAGGTCATCGCAGGCGTGGTGGGCGCAGCCTCCAGCGTTACCTCCGTACAAGTTGCCAATCTACTTCGGCTTTTTAAAATCCCCCAGGTGGGCTGGTCGCATCTTCTACACCTGAAATAATTTTAACAATGTAAACATTCCTTCATAATATTTCCCTAGGTGTCGTTTTTATCTACGTCCCCGGAACTGTCAAACAAGGCTCGTTTTGAATATTTTATGCGCACCATCCCCTCGGACTCGCATCAGGTGCGTGCGATGGTCGAGATTGCCAAGAAACTGGAGTGGCGCTACGTCTCCGTCATCTACGAGGAATCGAATTACGGAATTAAGGTATGTAACTAGTCGTCTGACGTCCTGCATAACACAGCGCGCGCATTCATATATTACATACATATATATTATAATTATTTAAAAATTCAAATGACAAAATAAACGTGCTATCTAAGGAAGAATATGTTTTGAGTGAATTCTAAGATTTGTCGTCTTCTTAGGCCTTCGAGGATTTAGAGACCATGTTGGCAAGAAACAACATCTGCATAGCGGTGAAGGAGCGGCTCATGAGGGAGTCGGGCGAGCCGCACGACAGTACCTACGATGGCCTGGTGCAGCGGCTGATGGCGCGCCCGCGAGCGCGCGGTGCGTACCAGCTCTGTCGCGCACCCCACGCATCGCCAGTATGGCACTTTTAACGTCTGGCCTCTGAGCAGGTGTGATCGTGTTCGCGTGCGAGCGGGAAGTGGCGGCCCTGATGGCGGCCGTGCGGCGACGGGGCGCGAACGTCGCCTTCGGCTGGCTAGGTTCCGACTGCTGGGCCGGGGGCGCGATGCTCGCCGCCGGCAACGAGCGCGCCCTCGAGGGCGCCATCGGCGTGCAGCTGCAGGCCAAGCCCGTGCGCGGTTTTCGCGAATACTTCCTTAATCTCACCGTAGAAAACAATCCGAGGAATCCCTGGTTCGCAGGTAATGTCGAACTATTATAGTTAATAGTGTTACGTGTCATACAAACTAATACCGAGACCAAGCTATGGGTTTCGATTTCTTCTCCACATAGTTTCTGAACGTGTGCTTTTCCTCCTTAGTTTTAGAATGCCCCTCTATAAAAAATCTCGGTATTAGAATTCTGGGAGCAGCAGTTCGGGTGCCGCTACCCGGGGGCGCGAGCGGGGCGGGCTGGGCGGTCGGGGCGGCGCTGCTCGGGCGCCGAGCGGCTGGCGAGCGACACGCCGCTGGAGGGCCGGCTGCAGTTCGTGGCGGACGCGGTGTTCGCTTTCGTGCACGCCGTGCGCGACATGCACCGCGAGCTGTGCGGCGGCCGGGCCGGACTGTGCGCGCGCATGCGCCCGCTCAGCGGCCCGATGCTCCTGCACTACCTGCGCCGAGTGCGCTTCACGGGTGAATTCAGTCAAACCTATAACTTAAAAATGTAATGTTTGCCGACGCGAGTGTTGACCCGTTATTTTTCTTAATTCTTTTATTTTTATTTTATTTATTCGCCCGAACGCATACAAGCGAAGCGTTCGTCGGGCTGCGTGTCGATCAGTGTCAGTTTCTTCTATAAATGTAAGGGTTGAGCGGTGACGAGTTCCACTTCGACGCGAACGGCGACGGCCCCGCGCGCTACGACATCCTGCACTACCGGCGGGCGGCGAGCGGCGGCCATCGCTGGCTCAAGGTGGGGCGGTACCTCGACGGCGACCTACATCTCGACTTGGCGGGTAAAGTAATGTCATCGCTCGACTGAGCAGTGACTAGCGTAGCCTCGTAGGTTGGCTCAACGTTATACATGAGATATCCGTCCCGAGCAGAAATCCAGCCGAGGACGGCATCGGTGTGCAGCGCGGAGTGCGCGGCGGGCCAGGCCAGGCGGTACGCGGCCGGCGACTCCTGCTGCTGGCACTGCTACAACTGCACGCAGTACGAGGCTAGTCTCCCGACTCCCGACTCACTCATCTAAGCGTCTACAAATTACTTAGGACCCGTCCGTAACATGCGGGACATCAGAATTGATAATTTGTCGTCTACAGATCCGGTCTCCTGTGTCGCATACGACGTGCGCGCAGTGTCCGCCGGGCACGCTGCCGGACGCGGCGCGCGTGAGCTGCCTGCCCGTGCCCGCGCGCGTCCTGCGCCCCGCGCACCCCGCGCTGGCCGCCGCGCTGGCCTGCTCCGCGTTTGGCGCGTTGCTCACCGCGTGCGTGTCCTCCGACGCACCATCACACCATATATTTTGATATTTTATTATTAATTTAGAAACAGAGTGAGATGGTGCGTGTGACGTGTATTGAAGCGGGTCCGTGTGCGCAGGGCGGTGGGCGCGCTGTGGGCGCTGCGGGGCGACACGCCGGTGGTGCGCGCCAGCGGCCGCGAGCTGAGCCTGGTGCTGCTGGTCGGCATCCTCATGTGCTACCTGGTGCCGTTCGTGCTCGCGCTGCGTCCCACCGACGGCGTGTGCGCGCTGCAGCGGTCTCTATTGTTTCTCAAATATAATATAATACTCTACGCGCTGCCGAGTCTGTGTGTTTTCCACGTTTGAGCACATTTTCTTTCCTTCGTTAGATCCAAATCTACCATTTTTTTTTTAAAGTATATGCCTACGTAAGTTTCGCTACAGTATTTTAGTCTCAACTGGTCTGTTCATTACAACAAAAAAAAAATGAAGCAACAAATGGTGGTGTCGATGGCGGCAGGTTCGGCAGCGCGCTGTGCTTCACGGTGGTGTACGCCGCGCTGCTCACCAAGACCAACCGCATCGCGCGTATCTTCTCCGCCCCGCGCCGCTCCGCGCGTCGCCCGCCGCTTATCTCGCCACGCTCGCAGCTCGCCATCTGCGCCCTCCTCGTCTCCGTGCAGGTACCTGCCACCGACTTCTCCTTTACTTGTGATCAGAAAAAAGGAAAGAGGTTGCGGTACTTTACTCTTACGTCAGGTGGCGCTGGTGGCGGTGTGGCAAGCGGCGGCGCCGGCGCGCGCGGTTCACCACTTTCCCACGCGCGCGCACAACCTGCTCGTGTGCGACTCGTACGTGGACGCGTCCTACGCGCTCGCCTTCCTCTACCCCGTGCTGCTCATCGCCGTGTGCACCGTGCACGCCGTGCTCACCCGCAACATCCCTGAGGCATTCAACGAGAGCAAGCACATCGGTGAGCCGATATTGCTCACTGCTCACTGCTCACTGCTCACTGCCAACTGCGCACCGCACACTGCTCTTCACTTTACTTATTATTGCAATAATTTTTGTACAATTAGGCGTCTTCTAAAGATCGAATGGATACTATCCACATGAATATCCTCAGATGGCATCACTACAACATGCTAATACTATATTGCGGCGAGATCGTGTTGAGGGCGGTGGTGTGCAGGTTTCGCGATGTACACGACCTGCGTGATCTGGTTCGCGTTCGTGCCGCTGCACCTGGGCACGACGAGCCGCGTCCCGCTGCGCGTCACCAGCCTGGCCCTCACCATCTCACTCAGCGCCAGCGTCACGCTCGCCTGTCTCTTCGCGCCCAAGGTACTTCTCTCCTCCGCCGGAACCCACCGAACCTCACCGATTGTTCAAAACGACTACAGTTATATAGCACGGGTTGGATTGGTGGCCAACACGTGGTATATAACTGTAGTCATGCATATGTGAAAAATTTATTTCACTACCTAGTACCTTAGTCTAGGATAAGCGTTGCTCCACGTAAAAATTAACAGGTGTACATCATATTGGTGCGGCCGGAGCGCAACGTGCGCGCCAGCCTGATGCCGGCGCGCTGGCGGGCGCGGGGCGCGGCGGGTGGCGCGGCGGGCGGCGCGGTGTGCGCGGCGCTGGTGGGCGCGGCGCCGCTGCCCGGTACCGGCTCGCCGCCGCCGCTAGCATACCCCTCCACAGACTTTTCTAAGACAGAAGTGAGCGGTGAGTGTACACGTCGTTGCGTCGCACACCTTATTGTGAAATAAAGCCTTAGTTTAGTAAAAAAAAAAAATAACGAGTTCGGTTTTGTTTGTTCACTTAGCACACTGACTTGAAAGATACACTGGCTTTATACATATACGCAGGGAGATCGACATCGAACGAACGACAAGTGCAAACGGAGGAGGATCCGAGGTGGGAGCGGGCGGGTGGCGCGCTGCCGCTGGACCCGCGCCGGCTGGCCGGGCTGGCGGCCGGGCTGCCCGCCTTCGCCCTCGCGCCCGGTGCGCTGCGCAGACGCGGCGTGCGGGATGCTGCACCCATATAGTGTTTGCGATCACGGCGTAAGCCAGTGCTTGTGTGACTAATGAGACAACTGAAAAAACCATGTAAGACAAAAATCGTCGATTCGTACTTGTGATACTAGATAAGCTCATTACTTATAGTAATAAATAATTCAATTTTTGCGCAATGTTTTATTTACTCCCTTAATTGTTAACGCGGGGAACGCCCAAGCAGACCGTGGCATTTACTTTAGTTTATGAACGGCCCGGCTAGGGGGCCCGGATTTTCGCGTTGCGATGACGCGCTGCGGCCTGCGGAGGAGGGCCCCGTTGGATGTGTCTAGGGCATCCGCCCATATCGGCACGCCGTACAGGACCATGCTCTTGACGACCGTGGCGTACAGCCGTCTGGCATGTTCGCCCGGACCCCGCACATTCGGGAGGAGCCTCGATAGGGCCAAGGACGCACCCACGAGCCTGGGGTCAGAAGATGACAGCCATCCGGGCAGCACCTCTCCGCGGATGGCCCAGTCATATCCAATGTTCTAGAGCAGGGGTCCTAATACAGGCCAGCCACCCCCCCCCTTCGTCCCACCCCGCATGTCCAATATGAACAGTGAGGACGAGGACTATGCCGCCCTAGACGCTCCTCCAATAACGGAGGAGATGGACAGCGCAGCTAGCTGGTTTTTTTTTTTTTGTCACTTTAGTGTATATTATGTTAAATTAAACAAGATGTGATTTAATACTATTATCCAAGTATAGTTGCACCACTGACCACTAGATGGCGACAAAACTGTATAGTTGACTCTGTTAGATATGTATGATGATATGTACATAAATATGGACAAAACACAGATTAAAAAATATATTAGTGACGCGATGAATTCTTCTTATCTTATCTAAAATTCACGAAAAAAGGTTTCCCAGTGCTCATGTGCCATTCAACCGCGGGTTCGTTGTTGCCGCAACAATAGTTTTTTTTTTTTTTTCATACTTTACCACACTTACCATATTACTCCATTTCATCAGCGTTTAAAGATACATTACGCTACGCATCATAATTCCAGTTGAGTCGTTAATAAGCTGTTTTATTATAGATGTCGATAAATTCGCAGTCGTTGCGCTACTACACTCACTATCCTAACAAGGGTTGTCCCGCTCAGTAATAGATGTCGCTGTTGCGGAAAACTATAAACAGAACGGGATGTTAACATAGAGTTCAGATGCACGGTAGTTACAACATCCACATATTGTCCAATAAAATCGCTATGATCACCGTCAAAAGGGTCAACAATGAGTGTATCACTATACTATTCTAATTCATAGATGATCCTTGCGGTTGGAAGCGAACAGTAAAGAAATATTGTATAGACAATCGAAGACTTAATTTATTAAATAAATTACTTAAAAGACTTTGTATTTCAGACAAAAAAAAAAAAAATATGTGATTAATTATTCATCGCCTCATCCTATGCTTTAATAATTTCACAAACTTCTTCATAGTAGTCAGTAGCCTAATAGATATAGGATAAGATCTTACTCACGGTCAGGTTGACCCGAGTTCGAATCCCGGGTACTGAAATATTGTGTGCATGTTGGTTGGTAGGTAGGTAGGTAGGTAGGTAGGTAGGTAGGTAGGTAGGTAGGTAGGTAGGTAGGTAGGTAGGTAGGTAGGTAGGTAGGTAGGTAGGTAGGTAGGTAGGTAGGTAGGTAGGTAGGTAGGTA